ATACTCATTAATCCCATCCAGAAATTAATTACTTTGCCCTTTAGTCCCCCTGGAAGTTAATTAACACCCCCCTCGCTAACTTCTTCATCAATTAAGCCTTTGTGATTAATTAACCTTCCCATTAAACAGTACAGAAATAACTACCTCCCCCCTAATAGCATCCTCATTAGCCTAATGAGCCGCTAATAACCCCTAATTAGCACCCCTCTCTTAATTACCAGGGTCATGCCTTGGCCCTTGGTCCCGGGGTCCTTTCAGCACATGCAAGAAATTAACACAGAGCGTTAATTAGCATGGAAGGCGGGGGGGGGAGGGGAGCTGCACACCCCCGCCCCGAACCCTCCAAAATCGCTCACAATTAACACCGTTAATTAAAAAACCCCCCCCTTACAATAACGAGAGCGTCTCATTACCCCCCCCCCCCACCCCCCCATCACCCCACACCCCATTTTGGGGTGAAAAACCGTGTTTTTTTTTGGTGCTTTTGCGCCTCCCCAGCGGAGGCCGTTCCGCCGTTCGCCATTTCGGGGCTTTTCAACCCAAAACCGACTTCGCCCCGGGTTTCAATTTCCACCATTTTTGGTTCAAACACGTGGTTTTTTGTTTTTTTTGGTTCTTTTCTCCTTAAAGGTACCACCGACACCAACGCCCTCCTCAAATTGGTGCAAAACCCCTCGGATTCGGTCCAAGCCAGACACGCTCTTTTTTGGTAACCTTTTGTCTTTCGGTCACTGCAGCGCTCACCAACTCAACCGCCCCGTTTTGGGGTGAAAAACGTCAAAATTTGCCCTTTTTTTCCTTCTTCAACGCACCTCAGCTCAGCGCCACCCAAAATCGCCCGTTTTGGGCTATTTGTTTTTTTTTTTTTTCCCCAAAACCGCAGCTTTTGGCACCGTTTTGCTTTTTAGGAACCACATGCAACCGTTATTGCTCAACACCAGCTTTTTCAACCCAAAAAAACCTTTTTTTTTTTTTTTTTTCTTTTGCCATTTTTGTCTCATTTTCCCCCATTTTCTGCGTTCACGCTCAAACCGTGGCGGATTTCGGGCTTTATTTAAGTTTGTGGGTTTTTTTTTTGCCCCAAAAATGCCACTTTTCCACCCAAAGCCGCCGCCGTCTCCCATCGGTCACCGTTCCCCCCTGTGGGTGCAGAGCCCTTTTTTGGGCTTTTTTCCACCCAAAACGTGGCCCCGGCCGTCGGCTGTTGTGAGAAAACGGGTTACACATCAAATACACTTTTTTTTTTTTTTTTTTGCTTTTTTTCTCTATTTTTTTTTGTGCTATTTTGCGTTTCATTTTTGGGTTCAAATGCTGAACTCTTGCCACTTACCACCAAATTTATTGAAGCCACCACGCTCACCACCGCTGAGGAGATAAATTAGAAGATATGAAGCTTTTTTT